TGACAAATCGAGCTCACGAAACAACAAATCGTTCCTTCCTCGACGTTTCATAGAGCAAGTCGTGTTGAAATAACATGGCGGGTATCGCCGCGACGGCGCCGAGAGCGCATGTACTCTGCGAACGATTCGTGCGGTTAAAGATCCGCGAGCATCTCCCGCCCTGGTGGCCGAGCCAACGGGGCCGACGATGTTGTCCTGTTCCCCTCGTCGCGCATCTCGTGGGATATTATCTCGCAATGGTGAGTATCCCGGGGAGCTCTGGCTCCCCCCCCCCCCTCTCTCTCTCTCTCTCTCTCTCTCTCGAACACCCTGGAACGGCTCGATGCCGCAAACGACGGCGTCCGGAAACTTGAAGAGCGTCACGCGGATCCTACAATAATAATCCCGCATCGCTATATGCAGAGCGAGAGAGTTTACGGAAAGTTCTTGCGTTTCGCGGAACGGTACATTGCGATTGCGATTCGAGAGGCCGCGCGGTGGTAGCGCAAGAAGTTCGATGGTGTGTCGCAGAGTGACAGTCGCATGATCCGGCGTACCGAATATAGCCGAGCACGACACAAAACGTCACGTCGTCGCGCGCGTTGGCAGTGGGGAGGATCGCCGCCGTCGCTGCCGTCGCCGTTGTCGTCGGTTTTCGACCAATCACGCTCGTGCTCACATCGCACCCCGCTACCGTCGCGTTATCCGTGTCGGTTCTTTCGCTTACCCGCCCATGCAAACGCGCCAGCAGTGGGGACGGGTAACCCCGGGGCGAGGGACAAGAGTGCGCGAGCGGAGGGGAAACACGGCGGGGAAGTCGCTAATATCTGGGGCTCCGGCGGCCGCGCAACTCGCGCCCTAATCGAACTCTACGAGAGTCGGGTACTCTCCATCCCCACCGTCGTCGTCCGCTCCATCTCCCCTCATGCTCTTCCGCTCCTTGCTCATCCTCCTTCTCCTGCTTCTTCTCCTTCTCCGCTACCACTTCCTTGGCCTCCTGATCCCCTCGCACACCATGCGAGGGGCCACCCTTTCGCTCACTCTCGTTCGCTCTTTTCGTCGAGAAAGTACTTGAACGAGTACCAAGACCGAAGTTGTAGATAGAGACCTTGCAAGTAGTACTTTACGAGACGGAAAATTCGCCTTTCGATCTATTCCCAAACTTGCGCGTCGCGATTTCGCCAGAAATGATTGGCGTTCCCGTGGGATATCCTATATACTTTCACGCACACATACACACATGCAGTACTAAATTTCGATAAGTATTTCACCGATATCGATACACTGAGCGAGCCGCGTAGCTTTTGCGATAGGAGAATAGAATTAATTCAAATCATACATGAAATCTCTACGACAATCATTCCTGTCACGGCGGGGATTATGCAATCACCGGCAAAAACTTGTTTGCTACGTTGCGGATACTTTAAGTTTTTCTTTCCACACACACGCGCGCGCACACACACACGCGCGCGCGCACACACATACGCACACACGCACACATATCTGTCTGAATCCTGAGAAAGAGGCGTAGCGAACGTGACTTAATTTCTTTCTTTAAAGATAAAATAAAATTAATCTTAATTGTGTACATGAAAACTCACCCCAGAATCAATTCCTTGAGTATTTGGTGTTGTAGCTCGCTGTTGTATATTGTGGAAAGCCTGAAAAGAGATACAATACCATGAATAAACTGTTTTTACATTATAGAAATACACAGTAAACGCATACATCTCTAAATTACATATTCTGACATGTCTTAATTTTTAACATATTCATAGAAATATTGATAGATTCTGTTACATATCTTCTAGAACATTAAATATCTCTAATATGTTATTTA